TATAGTATAGTATATAGTATAGTATAATATAGTATAGTATATAGTATAGTATAGTATAGTATAGTATAGTATAGTATAGTATAGAATAGTATAGTATAGTATAGTATAGTATAGTATACAGTATAGTATAGTATACAGTATAGTATAGTACAGTATATAGTATAGTATAGTATATAGTATATCATCCTACATTGTTGTAATATATTTGTATAATGTATAAAATTAGATTCTAGAACCCATTGTTCTCGAAAACAGCAATTCATCGTTCTACTAAGGTCTTTTTTTTACATTCGCTTGACACTTTAATTTAATTATTTCGAGGGAGGTATGCGAGAATGCTTGATCTGTCTGAATCTTAAAATTTGGGAAACAAATTATTCGCGAAACGCGAAGCAACGGACAAAGGGAGCTGCGAACAAAATTAACAATGCAACGCGTGCGTGGCAAAAGAAGAGGCAAATTTTAATACGACACGGTACGCACGCCCATTGAAACGCAGACATTTTCATTACACTCGTGTTGTTTTAAAACAGTAAATCAATTTTTAAACTTGTTTTTACCGGATCGTCGAAAGAAAATTTGTTATTCAAATTCCTCGCGGCAGAAACTCTTCTGCGCGCAAAGACAATTAAAGACAACTCGAAATTTAATATAATTTACACTGTTCACAACTTTGCTAATCTAGTCTTAATAATTTGTACATTCAAAACGATGATTATTAATCATTTAATAATTTAAGTTTATTATATATATTATTATTATATTTATTAATTATTTAATAATTAGTTAATAATTTAACCCTCCAGAAATTCTTCCAAAAGTTCCAGAAAGGTTCCAGAAAAGTTCCACAAAAATTTCAGGAAAGTTCCAGAAAAATTCCACAAAAGTTCCTAAAAAGTTCCAAAAAGGTTCCAGAAAGGTTCCAAAAAAGTTCCAGAAAGGTTCCAAAAAGGTTCCAGAAAGGTTCCAAAAAAGTTCTAGAAAGGTTCCAAAAAAGTTCCAAAAAGGTTCCAGAAAGATTCCAAAAAGGTTCCAAAAAAGTTCCAGAAAGGTTTCAAAAAAGTTCCAGAAAGGTTCGCGAAACAACGGACAAAGGGAACTGCGAAACAAATTAACAATGCAACGCGTGCATGGCAAAAGAAGAGATGAATTTTAAAACGACACGGAACGCACACCCATCGAAACGAAGACATTTTTGTTTAATAAAATGTACACTGTTCACAACTTTGCTAATCTAGTCTTAATAATTTCTACATTCAAAACGATGATTTAGTTAATAATTAAACCCTCGGGAAATCCTTCTACGCGCATAGAAAATCGAAGATAGCTTGAAACGCAATAAAATAACACGGGATTCATAATTACTCTTTGCCAATTGAGTTTTAATCATTTCTAAATTCATAACAAAATTCGGTTTATCTCGGTTAATATAATCGTCGATAATTTATAAATCAACACCTTTTCTGTCCCACGGTATTTCCGTTTAATTTCGTATTTCCAATAATTACCCTTTAACAGTTTTCGAAAGGTAGGAAAAGGTAACGCGTCAGAACTACATCGAAACATGTTCTAGCAATTTCAAGGAGGCCCTTCATAGTCGTCGCACGAGTGCAACGGGTTAACAGACGTTCATCGAGTTTGAACTCCGTTGATCTCCGCCGTCGGAGTCGTCGATATTCGATACATCCACCACGTGCCGCGACAGGGATAAAAATGTTAATTAAAGCTGCTCGGTCGCGGCGGTCCCGCTCGCGCAAAACGCAGCAACGCCGTTCGAACAGGCCCGTAAGAAATTATTAATTACACCTATCGGCGCGGCCTCGCATCAGCGTCGACCTGTAATCGACGGTAACCCGTGCCCGGAGCCTGATCGACGGTAATTTATGACCGCCTAATGTAACCCGATATATTTCTTATCGAGCCCTAAACGCGAGCAACCCTTCCCCCCGGCACGGAGGGAGGAAGGGGAGCCAGGAAGTTACGCCCCCGATCCTCTTTCTCCGCTGTGGCTGGCCTTAATATTCTAACGCGGGAGAGCCTATCTTTCCAGAAAGCTCCGGATATCGTGCGAGTAGGCTAGCATAAGGAGACTATACAGGGTGTCCCAGAAATGTCTCGCAAAATGAGAAGTTCCTGGGGTCATTTGAAGTAACTTTTTTTCTTAGCGAAAATGCAACCCGTGGCATCGTTTACGAATTATTAACGAAAAGAAAACACTGACCAATGAGAGGCGAGAGCTTGCCTAGCGCTTGGCGGCCGAGCCAATCAGCGCACGAGGCCCAGTTCTGCTCATTGGCTCGGCCCCCTTGCGCGCCAGTATATTTCGCCTCTCATTGGTCACTGTTTTTCGTTAATAACTCGTAAAGGAAACCGTGGATTGCATTTTCGCCAAGGACAAACTTACTTCAAATTAACTCGGCAACTTCCCATTCTCGGATTGCGAGACATTTTTGGGACACCCTGTACATGGAACGGAGGACGTCGGGGAAGAGACAGAGAGAGCGCGCGAGAGAGCGCGAGAGGGAGAGCGCGAGAGAAAGAGAGCGCGAGAGAAAGAGAGCGCGCGCGCGAGAGAGAGAGAGAGAGAGCGCGAGAGAAAGAGAGCGCGCGAGAGAGAGAGAGAGAGAGAGCGCGAGAGACAGAGCGCGCGAGAGACAGAGCGCGCGAGAGGGAGAGCACGAGACAGAGAGGTCTCCCGAGGAGCGCGAGCACGAGCGACGAAGAGGAACGGGGAGGGGAGGGCATTCAGGTAGGAAAAAAAGGAAGAAAACGGGACACGGTAGACCAGGTAAGCCGAGGAGGAGAGGAAGAGGCAGAGGAAACAGGAACCGAGTCGGTGTCGGTGGTACGAGCAACGGGAGCAACGGAGCGAGAGAGCTCGGATGGAGGAGGACGGGCGAGGGCAGAAGGTGAGACGATCGTAGAGGTGAGAGAAAAGGACGAAATCGAAGGCGGATGAGCAGGTGAGCCGGGGATACGAATAAGGGTCAAACGAAAGCGAGTTATTGGCCGGCAGGAAGGGAAAAGGGGCGAGACCGTAGGGAGGCAAACAAGCGTCGCCCTTGAGAGGACCGGGCGTGAAAATCTGCCGATTATATCCATTTTAGCTGCGGCATTCTTGTCCGAGGACTCACTCTTGATCGTTGGCCTCGAAATCCGGTTGAAAAATTTGTCGAACGAACGATAATCCGAAAGATAATACCGATTCGTCTGCTATTTACTTGTGTCGAAAGAATTTGAAGTTGAATTTTGAATCTATCAACCCTTTGCACTCGAAGCCATTTTAACTGTAAATCTAAATTAATTTTTCCGACTTATGATATCTCCATTTTGTATGACAAAGCGCATTTTATGCGTATGAAATTTAGTATTGCGACTCGTACAACGGTTAGACTGTTAACAATTTTCTACGTCTAGACTTTCGTAATATAAAAGTTGTTGATGTCTTTATTTTGAATCTATTAACCCTTTGCACTCGAAGCCATTTTAACTGAAATCTAAATTAATTTTTCCGACTTATGATATCTCCATTTTATACGACAAAGCGCATTTTATGCGTATGAAATTTAGTCTTGCGACTCGTGCAATAGTTAAGACTGTTAACAATTTTCTACGTCTAGACTTTCGTAATATAAAAGTTGTCGATATCTTTATTTTGAATCTATTAACCCTTTGCACTCGAAGCCATTTTAACTGAAATCTAAATTAATTTTTCCGACTTATGATATCTCCATTTTATACGACAAAGCGCATTTTATGCGTATGAAATTTAGTCTTGCGACTCGTGCAATAGTTAAGACTGTTAACAATTTTCTACGTCTAGACTTTCGTAATATAAAAGTTGTCGATATCTTTATTTTGAATCTATTAACCCTTTGCACTCGAAGCCATTTTAACTGAAATCTAAATTAATTTTTCCGACTTATGATATCTCCATTTTATACGACAAAGCGCATTTTATGCGTATGAAATTTAGTCTTGCGACTCGTGCAATAGTTAAGACTGTTAACAATTTTCTACGTCTAGACTTTCGTAATATAAAAGTTGTCGATATCTTTATTTTGAATCTATTAACCCTTTGCACTCGAAGCCATTTTAACTGAAATCTAAATTAATTTTTCCGACTTATGATATCTCCATTTTATACGACAAAGCGCATTTTATGCGTATGAAATTTAGTCTTGCGACTCGTGCAATAGTTAAGACTGTTAACAATTTTCTACGTCTAGACTTTCGTAATATAAAAGTTGTCGATATCTTTATTTTGAATCTATTAACCCTTTGCACTCGAAGCCATTTTAACTGTAAATCTAAATTAATTTTTCCGTCTTATGATATCTCCATTTTGTATGACAAAGCGTATTTTATGCGTATGAAATTTAGTCTTGCGACTCGTACAACAGTTAGACTGTTAACAATTTTCTACGTCTAGACTTTCATAATATAAAAGTTGTCGATGTCTTTATTTTGAATCTATTAACCCTTTGCACTCGAAGCCATTTTAACTGAAATCTAAATTAATTTTTCCGACTTATGATATCTCCATTTTGTATGACAAAGCGCACTTTATGCGTATGAAATTTAGTCTTGCGACTCGTGCAATAGTTAAGACTGTTAACAATTTTCTACGTCTAGACTTTCGTAATA